AACTTTACCCCTAACTAGAATTTTAAGCATAAGAAAAAAATAGAGAGATTAAAATTATAAATCAAAGACCATTTAGTTTCACACCAGGTGTTAAAACCCTGCTTCTAGATGCCATTAATCTCAGAGATTTAACTGTCTTTAATGGGAAGTGTCTCATTCCCTGCAAGAAACAAAGAGTTTTCCATTAGGCACGATGACCTCATCCATCCCTCCCTGATCCTTCCTCACCTCATATGCAGATTCAAGCGCACCCCAATTCATCACTTCAGTACAAAGCTGTTTGCAGCTCAGTGATCTGCAGTTATGTTACACACCAAGCACAAAGTTCCCAGAAGAAAATGAAGCTCCTTCAACTCTGAAATTGCTATTGCTGCTTTGAAGCAATGCAGGTTTCTTATAACAAAGAACAACTACTACTAATGAGCTTTTCATTGTTATGCTTCATTTGTTAAAATTCCACAGGTTCTGCACAAATGGAAACCCTCACCACTACACACAGAGCCACAAGGAAGACACCAGAAGAGTCAGAAGCCCAAGAAGAAGAACTTTTCTTCATAAATGGATGAGGTGAAAGAATTAGGTGGGTGGCGAAATGGCTAACCTAAGCATTACTTTAAATTCGTAATGACTTCTGTCATACAATTCTTCTTCTTTCCCTTTTAATTGCTCTTATTCTGCAATTCCTATCCATCCATATATAACCTACACCTTTGTATCCCCTCTTCCTGCAAAAAAAATACTCTTTCCTCAGGACTGTACATTACTATTTCAAATTTTCGTATCATTTCTGTCTTTGCAAGTCTTGGCCATGTTACTTAGAAATTCTCAGTCTCCATTTCAGCTTCTTTAGATTCATTTTTGCTACTGTTTTAACAAAATTCATTTTTGCTAAAGAGCAACTAACCTCTCTGACCTAATTAAAAAAAAAAAAATAATTTCCCCTTCTGAAATTTTTGATTTCAAGTCCCTTGGAAAGCTTCCCAGAGGAAGTATACATACTGGTACAGGAAGTTGGAATACTCTTCAATACTTGCATGGGTCCATCCATCTCACATGCATAAACCACTGATGGAAAACTAAGCATACTGCTGCTTTCATTCCCAGTATCTACTCCTCTCGAAGCTCCTAAAATTCTGTTAACTCTTCAGAACTTTATTCAGTAGTTCCTCAAATTTGTTTACATATTTTCATTCAATTCCTTAAGATCAACTCACCTACTTTCCTCTAATTTTCTCCCATTACCATCTTCCTTCCAGTAACTTGATCTGTTCCAGCCATTTAAACTGCTATCATATGAAATGCTGCCACTTTTAGCCTTTCCCCTTTGATCTTGATAACTCCAACACTTTGCTCCTCAAATTAATTCACAAACACAAAAGTATCTCCAGATTTATCAGTGGTTTCCCCTTCTCTTTGTACTTCCTTTAGGCTTTGTCATTTCATCTTGCTTATCTCTCTGCTTGAAGTTTACTGTCTCTACACCAAAATGGGTCTCACTAGAACTCACAGATGAAGAAAAGGTGTTCTGGTAATTCCTCACTCCCTGACAGGCACTACAGACTGTACAGAGAACAGGGTAAACAGAAAACTGAGATTTTTTGACTAAGAGTTGAACTCTCAAAGAAACAGCTTGAACATATTAAAACAAATTTAATTGTAATTTATCAAGTGCCAAAACAAGATTAAAAGGATTTATCTTAAAATGAGGGGAAAGGCTCCAAGCTCTGTGGGAGACCTCAAATTACATAACAGCTTAGTATTTTTTTAAATAGTGTTAGTAACGGAGTTCTCTTCTGGGACTGCACCCTGCAACCTTACTGTTTATAAAACAGCATTGAAGAACCACCACAGTGGGTCAGGCTGGCTGTTTAGCCCAACAGAAATGACAAAACCAACTCAGACAAAACATCCAGCCTGACCTACTACTCTGCCTTCAGAAGCAGCTAAGAGCAGATGTCTAGAGCAGCCACATGCAAAAATTCTCTTCCACTCTCCCCAAAACACTTCATACTTTCCCTAATTTGCAGCTCAGTAAATTTCTTACCTGGGGATAGTACCTTTGTTTATCTTTTTTTTTTTTTTTTTTCTTCCACCTCCTTTTCCATATTTGTTCAGAAGCTCTTTATAACCATGCAGCACACACAGCATGTTGTGGCAAGGAATTTCAGAACTTACACACTATGCAAAAAAAAAAAAAAATCCCCAAACCAGACATTTCTTTTCCTAGCTTTAAAACTGTTTCCTGTCTGTTTCAGCTCATCTCTCTTCTAATATAAAATTAGGTGGCACTGAGTATTCATTTCCTATTGACACACCTCACAGCTCCTATAATTTTACAAACACTTAGCATTAAGACCTGGTTATTCTCTCTTTCCCAGTCTGGAAACTCTCACCTAGTTAGTTGCTGTTGCATGGAACACTGTTCCATTGATGTCTTCTGCATCCTGCTGCCCTTCTTCATTTTTGTTGCCTTTCTCTGAAACTTTTCCTATTCTACTTCACTTGTTCTGAGATAAGGAGACCAGGACAGCACACCATCTTTAAGACAAAACACTTCACAGATTTAGAAAGTGGTCTAATATTTCAATTTCTCTCCTTTTAGAGTAATTTCTGATATAAATTTCCTTCCCAATTGTTCCTAAAATATAGAGGTGATTTTTTCAATAAATGCTGCCTATAGTCCCAAGACCTCAAGCTAACTCAAAATACTTTAACATTACTGATCCTGAATTTCTTCCATCATTTTAATGGCCATTTGGCTTTACATGGTTCTTTTGTGTTTGTTTCAGTCTGCCCCTTTTATTTTTTTACCTTCTTTTGTCCCATAAAACTTAGTTTCAGAAATAAACCTTGTCACCACACTTTTGTCCCAAGTCTCTTATAAATATGAAAATACCCGCGGGCACTCACAGAGCTATCTATGGGAATCCATCGGTGATTTCCAACACATTTTTCCCCGGAAGCTTTTTTCCTTACCATTTAAACAATTATTAAAACAGTTAATAACACAGTCCTCCTCCTTAACTTGTGCCTGTTTAGTTCCTTTAAAAAATTTTCAAGAGAACTTTCAATATGAAATAAATTTTCATCATTTAAGTAGAGCAATACATCCAATGATGTCTTTCACCTGCATGCCAGTTGTCTCCTTCAAAGACCACAGGCCATTTCTGTGATTTGACTACAAATCACAAAAACACCGGCTACAGAAGATCTCTGGGAGTCCTCCAGTCAGACAGTCTGGCCAGCCATTAAAAGCCACAGAAGATCAGGTCAGCCATAGCACTGTACAACTAAGACTCGAAAGCTCTACTAGGAGAGGTGCCACCCCCACTCAAACCCATGTTTTATTCAGTGCTGAAATATACTCCTACAGAAAAATATTTACCTACAATGTCCAATCAGAACATTTCAATTTGCAATCTGTGTATGTTGACCTCCTGCTATTGGTTTGCCACAACTAGGTGTCACAGACATCTTTTCATAAAAATCCTTTCTTTAGGATTTTTCCTTCTTCTGGGAAGTTGAGGCCCCAGAAAGAGAATGTAAACAATGGTTATCTGCTGCTGCGGAATGCAATAGGTGCACCTGTGATTGGTCCATGTTGATTGCGCACAATTAAGGGCCAATCAATGACCAAGCTCTCTCAGGGACAGAATCAGAGAGAGCTCCTTTGTTATTCATTCCTATTCTATTCTTAGCTGAGCAGCTTCTGAACTTTTCTCTCTATTCCTTTTAGTATAGTCATAATGTATTATATATCATAAATTAATAAATCCAGCCTTCTGATCATGAAGTCCAGATTCTCGTCTTCACCCCTGAGGAACCCTTGCAAAGCCTTGTAACAACTAGGAACATTGGCTCCATCATCTTTCTAAAGATCCTTCAAGTAGGTGAAGGCGTATATTAACCAGTTCATCAGGTCTTAAACATCCTCTTAATTGGGCTTTTATTCACAGAAATCAATCCTTTCTCAGTATCTCCACCATAATACTCAATGCTCTTTCTAAAACAGAGATTCTAATCTAATTTTTTTAATTAATCCACTCAGCTTAAACAGGTGACCCAGTGGTTTTTAGACTCTCTGAGTCCACATGACTGCTTTCTGAAATGTGGTATGAAATTAGACATCTTCAAGTATTCAACTGGTGAGATACTTAAAAGCAAAGGGCTGCATACCACAGTCAGAAGCTAGTCTATTTCACTCTACCATTCCTAAAACAACTAGGCAGACTACATCTGGACCTGCTAAACTGAGAACATTAAATTAGTTCCAGAAAAGCAATCTCCTAAATCTAAGAAGGTTTCTCCTAACCTAAGAAGGTTTCCAAAACAGGAACCACCCCACACTTTTCAGTGGTGAGCACATACACACAAGAATTACTCAGTTTTCTGCCATGGCTTTATCTTGGATCATTCCTGCCATAGAGTCATTACACACAGGCCACACAGAGTCTCCAGCTGGCCTCCTGCTCTTGGTGTGGTTGAAAAAAGCATTCATTAACTTTCTGTTTAGCCTGATAGGGGAATGTTTTGGTTTAATTTCCTTCTTTGAACATAGACACAGCTTTTTTTAAGATGTCCTCTTGCTTTTAATTGTCTCCTTCACCTGGTCATTTAGCTATACAGGCTTCCTTTTCCTAAGACATTTTTAGACTGATGGTTAAGTGTTTGTGTGGAGCCTCCAAAACAGCATCTTGAAATAGTGACCTTCAAATACATTACTCTTTCAGTGTCACTGTAAACAAGCATCCCCATTTTTACATAGTTTCCCTTTTTGAGGTTGAGCATAATTCAAGAGAGGTAACAAGACAGCAGAATTGCAGGTTCTTTTTCTTTCATTCCTCCCATTTCCATTTGTTGGATTTCCTTAGTTTAGGGAAAAGAGAAAGGCAGAACAACTGTAATGGTCTACAAAGTCACATCACAAGTCTTCCTTCCAGACATCATCTCTGCATGACATTATCATCTACTGACTGAACAAAATACAGTCTCTTACCCACCTTTTAGTCATCATCCCTCTCTAATCATGTACTGCCTCTGTTCAGCCTTGTGCAGAGCCAAAGTGGGGTCCTGGGTCTGCCTTGGAGGTTCCTAGGAGTTAAGGGAACACGGAAGAGAAATAATAGGTATTGAGGAGGCAGCTCATCAGCAATTCTCAGACATTTATTGCAGACATAAAACATGTCTCTCAAGTCAATAAATTAGAAATGTAAGGCACTTGAACTATGCAATGTGAAGAAGAACCAAAAGGAAAGAGATAGAAAAAAAATCATTTTTTAAAATACTCGGCAGCTTGGGATGAGAATCAGAAGAGGAATATTTGCCGCAGAATTACCAAAATCCATGAGACATGAATTTGAGAAAAATCCTTACTCTATATTTTGCCTTGGTGCCTTAATACCACTAAAATTAAACATGTCTAATACACAGACTTAAATTTGTCCCTGAGTAGCATCCATAACAAAATTCAGGTGAGTAAAACTTCAGTATTCTTCCATCTTTCCATAAAACAAAGTTCAAAAGAAAAACATAGTTACTCTCTAATATCTCAAAACAACACAAAAAGCATTTTCAAGAGAGAGATGCATCATTAAGGACATTTCAAGACATTAACCCATCTTGTAGGAATGACAAATACAAGATAAATATTCAAAAAATTATCTTGCTTTTTTATTTATTAAACCAAAAAAAGTACTGCTAATCAATCAAGTGCTATCTCTACTTGAAACAGCAAGACAGGAATCCCATAGCAGTTTCCTGCTCTCAGCACCTCAAGAAAAAGGCACTTCACAAGAAAAAACAGTAGTCCTCTGTCCAATTAAAGCATTCGTTTCCTCGATTGAGAATGTCTACAGAACAGAACAAATACACCAGCAATCAACAGCTCACCCTTGAACCTAAACAGAGACGTGAGGCAAAAAAGGAGTCATTGTTCCACTCTGTTTACCCACTTATATGAAATGATTGTACTAGATGACTGGAAGTGTTTGTGATTTTTTTCCAATGCTTTCCTGACCTATGAAAGTCTCAGGAAGCCTGCCAAATGCATAACCATAGAAATATTTGGAAACCTCATACGAACAAGAAGAACTCTCCAGACTGGCCAACAAGTTCAGATTTATGTTTACCACATCAAAATTTCTCAAGAATCCCATTCTCCCTATCATCAAGTACTTCAGATTACAATTTACATATTTTATCCTAAATTAGGAATTTTATCATATCATTTATATCATATGTCCACATATACAGACCCCTCCGTGAAATTCAGTGATGTCTCTGCTGTAGAAGTTGCCAAAAACAGATTTAGATGGTGTTCTCCAAGGCACAGGGATCAAGCAAAGCTGAAGTATAGAAAGTCACTTTCAATTTCATAGTCCAAGGTAGTAGGAGAAGCTTATATTTTCAACAAGACATTGCATCGCCTTTTCTTTGCCTCCCACTTTTCAGAAAGGCAAGGACAAATTTAAAACTTGGAAGAGGACCAAATTCTGCTTTTTATACTACTATGTACCAGAGAATGCTCAAACACCTCAGCACTCAAACTACCCGTCACCAGTGCATGTTGATGACAAACTACTCTGAGACATTCAGTCTGTCAAGTAATTAATTAGAACTGTTACTCTGCAGCAAGTTCTACAGACAACTACAAGCAACCCATCTCCAAGATGCAGTGTGCTAGTGATTTATGTATGCACTCACTACACCAGAATGAGCAGCAGAATTATTAGACTTTGAAACATTACAAGGAAGCCTGTATACCTCAATTTTTCTAAACAAGCCTAACACTTCTAGTGCTTTCTATAAGCACCTGAACCTGGTCACTTCATGATTCTTATTTCTACATAAACATATCAGATTTTATTTAATCAAAATAAAAGCTTGAACAAGGTTACTTTTATTCTAATCTTAAGTACATAAACAAAACTGGAAAGCAGGGTACGAATCCATCTTATTGATTTAGGGAAACTATACACACACACAAAAACTAATACGTAAAAGTTTGATTTCTACAGATTCATGTCTTGCTCCCCTTACACTTCTTCATATGGCAACCCTGCAGCTCCTGTGACTGTGGAAGCACTCTCATCAAGCACAATACAGTACATGCTGTGGGTAGGATAACACCAGAAACCACCCTGAGTATTCGCTTATTTAAGCTAAAATTAGGCTAACTCGGTCTACACAGCCCACACCAAACCAGTCTTACAGAAACTGTAAATAAAGCCACCAAAATTAGAAGTCTAACTAAAAAAAAAAAACATCAATTTTACTGGAAGGTATGCAATCATGTTTTAGTTTACTTTTGCTTTGGTTTAGCATGAGTTGCTAGAGTAAAAAGGTTAGAGTGGCTTTGCTTCATGCCTCTGTCTCGCACTCTTTCCTTTCAAAATGTCTTTTAGAATGGATGATCAGTTTCAGTCTAACGCAAAAACTTCTATGAAAACGGTAAGGAAAAGCAACAGACAAACTCACTTCCCAAACAGCTGTTGTACCTACTCTCAATGACAAACACAGGTACACAAGAGGGGAATTCAACCATGGTACATTTTATTTTCCAGAAACCCACTAATTTAAAAGAATGGGGCAGCAAGGGGACTTCTGCAAACAGATAAAAATAGACATAGGTGTATAATAGGGGAAGGTTTCAAGACATCATCACAAGATTTAAAGCAAAACACATGGGAGTGCTGGTTCCTGCTGCTGATAGGATACAGCACAAAAGTCACTGGTATGAGCAAGCAGTGCGATTGAATTTGGCAGGGGCACTGCGGCGAGCACACACGCAGTTACCGCCTTTGCTCTTACATGGGTGCAGGCACTGGGCTCACCTCTGTCTGCTACACCTGAAGAGATATTTGGCTCCACGTGGAACTGAGCAAAGAAACAATCACAGCATGTCTAGACACCGTGGCTCATCTGCATGCTGAGGCTTCCCACTTCTGCTGCAGCTGCACGGCACTGCTCAGGCAGTGTGCCACAGCAGAGCCTCGCCTCACCCAGACACCTGGGAGCTTGTCCAGGCACCCAGGATCTTCACACAACACCTAATGACAACCCCTGCTCACCTCATAACATCTGGGAGCTTGCCCAGGCACTCAGGACCTTCACACAACACCTAATGACAACCCCTGCTCACCTCACAAGACAAAAAAGGACACTGAGTGGGATAAGAACATGCCAGCTCCACATCATTCCACCAGCCAGCCTTGGCTTTTACTCCACAAAGTTGACAACCTGAGCTGAGGAAGCTGCTCCAAGTGACTGCGGATGATGTCAGTGAGGCTAAAGTAGAAGTGTTAGGGACACCAGGTAGATGGGGCTTTTCCAGACTTCAGTGTTCTCACCATCTATGCACAGGAGAACTGAACATATATAAGTAAACTTCACTTACTATTTAAAATACTACTGAACACATTCTTTGCTTTTGTTGATATTTGACAAAGAAAATCTTGTCAAAACTGAAAAGGTATCAAAACTGAGAAAAGGAGAGGAAAACAAGAGTAAGAATAAAAGGATAAAATATTTTCCTTCCTCTTCCACTCCTCCAAAACATGCCTGCATTATGCAAATATATCTTACTTTCAGGAATCAATCAAGGATGAATGGTTACAATCCACTACCTTGTGTTCCTTCTACAAATACTAACATTTCTCCTTATGAAGTATGCTAGCAAATATTACTACTTATCTTTCTCTCTTCATGCTGAAGAGGTCCTTGCATAAGGAAAAATATCTCATTAAATTCAGGTTATTCTCTTGACTAAAGAATGCACGCACATAGAAAGATGGCAATTATTGAGCAGAATCTAGGTATAAGAAACATGACAGAAATAGGAATAGCCCTGTTATAAATTGGGCAGAATAAAACCAAAATAAAATAAACATAGGGATTTTCAGGAGTGAGGAAAGCAGAATAAATTAAAAATCAAAAACATCCTTGAACATGCCCCAGCCACCTCTGCTTGAGACCACAGAACCAGCTCATACAAATGCATCCCAAACAGACAGACACCTGCAAACAGACACTGCAAAGCAGAAGCTCAGTGTACAGAGTGCTGCGTCTGCTCCTGCTTCATGTGCAGGTCTGGGAAACTTCCAGGTCCTGACACACGTGTTTTCTGGTTCATCTCAGAAATTACATCCAATCAAAACAGGAGCAGTACTTGGACTCTCTTAAGTTCCAGCTTTGTTCTCACCTTGCTGAGCACAAGCTCCCAGGCATTAACAACTGTGGACATGTGCGCACACACACACACACAGGCACATGCAAACCTCATGAACAGTACATGTGACTCATCCTGACTTTGTCAGGCTGACTCCACAGGCATGGTAAAGTCAAAATAACCAGAACAGACTCCTTTAGGCCAAAACAGAAGAAATGCAGAGATTGGAGTGCCAGGACAGGAATCATACTGCAAGCAGGAAAGCACAGGCCAGAATATGTGAAGTCACCAGTCAGCCAGAGTTCTCTGGATGAAAGTTACAAAACAGAATGACATAACATTTATCTGGTTTTGCAGGGATTTGACTAATAATAATTCACTTAAAGCCACCGAACTTGCCCTGCTACTTGTTTTAACTCCACTGAGGTCAAAGTAACTGGACCTGTTAATGTTCATTTAGCCTTTTAACCAACCACCACAGATTTATAGTCCAAGAGCAGCAGCACGTAGTTCTTCCAAAAACCACATCATGATCCCAAAACAGTCATTTTTAAAGTATAATACATTATAAAGACTTCTGACAGAACAAACACTACTACCTTGTTTAAAATGGTAGAGATGGAGAAAAACAGTAATAAAAGAGAAATTATTGTGGTCTTGCTCCCACTGAAGTAATGTTTTTCATGAAGACTTCAAAGAGCAGGGAAAACATGGCCTTTATCCAACTTGCTTCAAATTACACAACTGAGTAATTTTATTCAAAATAAATCACTTCTGATACAATTTTAATCTCCTTGAGTTTGACAGCAAAACTTCTGAAAATCTTTATTCTTGAGTGTGATGCCATTTATCCTTGGGCTTCTCTGTCTTTTACTGAAGTCTATAGTGCTCTGTTGCCACTGGTATTTGCTGCCTACATGTTTTG